TAGATGTTCATTGAAATGAAAAATAAGCAAACTAAATTTAAAAAAAAAAAAGAACTGGCTGACACAAAGACATTTCAGGAAGTAGTACATGACCAAGAATCAAAGGTGATGAAGGAAAAGAGAGTCAAGCTGCAGTGAAAGCACTGGCAAAAATAAGGCCCAGGAATTGCTGGAATACTAACTGACATGTCCGCACTAATAAATGTAGCAAAAGATGTGCTCACCAGGCTATGCCAAGAAATCTGGAAGACAGTTACTTGGCCAACTTACTGGAAGACATTTGTATTTATTCCCATTCTCAAGAAAGTTGATCTAACAGAATGTGAAAATAATTTAAAAAATCCTTTATTTCACATTCAAATCTTGCTAGTATCTCACTAAAGATGATTCCAAAGTGGTTAGAACACTACATGGACAGAGAACTGGCAGAAATTTAAGATGAATTCTGAAGAGGCTATGACATCAGGTTAGACTTGCTGATGTCAGTTGGGTCCTAGCAGAAAGCGGAGAATTCCAGGATGTCTACTTGGGTTTATTAACTATTCAAAGACATTTGTGTGGATCATAACAATTATGGTAAACATTGAAAAGAATGGGAATTCCAGAACACTTAATTGTGCTCAGGCAAAACCTATTCCTAACCCAAGAGTTGGTTTTCCAAACAGAAAAAAGGAACACCACTGAATGGTTCAAAATCAGAAAGAGTGTGCATCAGAGCTGTTTCCTTTATACGTGTTTAATGTGTATGCTGAACAAATAGTTTCAGAACTAAGACTTTATGAGGAAGATTATGGCATCAGGATTGGAGGAAGACTCATCAATAAACTTTAGTATGCGAATGACATAACCTTGCTTGCTTAAAGTAAGAAGAATTTGAACTACTTGCTACAGAAGATCAAGGACTATAAGCCTTCATTATTAATTGCATCTCAACATCAAGAAAGAAATCCTCACAACTGAACAAACAGAGAACATTATGACAGATGAAGAAAAGATTAAAGTTGCCAATGATTTCATTTTGGAACCACAATCAACACTCATTGTGACAGCAGCCAAGAAATCAAAAGACATGTTGCTTTGGGGAAATCTGCTGTCAAGGACTTTTCCAAAATTAAAGAGCAAGAATGTCAGTTTAAAGACTAAAGTAAATCTGATCCAAGCCATGATATTCTCAACTGCTTGCTATGCATCTGAAAGTTGCACAATGACTAAAGATTACAAAAAAGAATCAATGCCTTCAAACTGTGGTGTTGGAGAAAGGTACCAAATATCCTATGGACTGCTACGTAGGTCTGTCTTTCAGGAAGTGAACAAGGGTGTTCCTTGGAGGCAAGGATAGTGTCTCATATACTTTTGAGTTTGTTGTTATGAGGGGCCAGTTGTTGAAAAAGGACATCATCCTTGGAAAGGAGAGGGCCAAGGTAGACTGACACAGTGACTATAACAAAGGGTTCAAGTGTGTTGGAAATTATGAGGATGGCACAGAATAGAGCAGGGTTCAGATACATGGTTCACAGAGTCACTATGAGGCATTAGTTAACTTGACAGCACAGAGCTCTAGGCTTATAGTAAGCAGAATTAGAGGCAGGAAATGAGACTTTCACCATCAGCAAGAATGGAGAATGGCGAGTCAAGTGCACATCCATTTGGGCCAAAGATTCCTGTACTAGTACACCAAGACCTAGCCAAGAACATCAACAACAGTGAAGAATCAGAGAACAGCACTGAAACAGACCTGACTGGAAACTGCCAGCACACGGAACCAGGGCCAGGGTCAGATTCTTTCCCCAGGCCTGCTAGAGGATTCAGGAGAAGACACCATAACTGGCAGGTCTAAGAGAGCTTTGCTGAACTGATCTGAAATGTTGAAGTGGAAATAATAGAGCCCGCAAGCACCTCTGTGTAGCTGTCCTAACTAAAGAATTGTATCCTAGTTTTAAATTAAATTTTAACTTGTTAACTTCCCTAATAAATATAAGTTATAAATATGAGTTCTTATCTTTAGTTCTGTGTGGACACTACAATAGATTAGTGAGCCAAGAACAGTGATAGCTCGGGAGGGACAGGTAACGCTAGGACTAATAGAAGTAGGTGGGGACTTGGGTTGGAATTGATTTTATGCAATGGATGTTGTAGGTAGAGACTGTTCTCCCTAACGGAGTTAGTGGAGGTTGATTGTCACCACCCTCACACTGCCTGTACTCTGTTTATACTGAAGTACCCTAAGTAGGTGAAGAATATGTGCTAGATGAAGACTAGTACTCTTCAAGAAGTTCCTGTCTTCATACATAGAGTTGAATCCTGGGAGTCTGAGTCCTGAGGGACTGGGCTCCCGGAGAGACCTTGGGAGTCCCAGAGAGAAAGGTAGATAGTAGGAAAGCAAGTCCTTGCTGCAGGGAGAGGGGTACCAAAGTAACAGGGCCCCAAGGCCACTGACAAATGACAAGGTCCTGTTTGTTTGCTCAGAGGAGCCAGGGTACAGTCAAGCACTTGCTCAGCCTCAAAAAGACATGGACTCACTTAGGAATTGGTGTCTGGCTTCATGTGGGCCATAGGATATTATAAGAGTCACCAAAACTGGCATTGTGTTCTCCTGAACTTGACAGATACCCACTGCCAGCCACTGCTCCTTAAAACAAGCAGCTCAGGGTTTACCTAGGACTGCTCTTGCTATGCTTCCATCCCAAGACCCCTTCTCAGTCTAACACATGAACCTCTAAAACTCTCTCAAATGCCCTTCTCTTCTACTGGCACAGCCTGCATGTTCACAGAGCTCCCTCCTTGTGGAAGTGGAACAGCCCCTGAGATGGTTGTCCACTCTTTGGGTGGCACACCATGAGGTGGAAGGTGTAATGAGGAACTCCGCTTATCTACAGCAGTCTGGTGCTTGTTTGTTTGCTTGGCTGAAGCCACTCAGTAACAGCCATGATTACAGCAAAACAGAGAATGGCATTCCCAGGACTGCCTAACTGGCACAGCTAACTGTCCACAATGGGGGCACTTTGCTGAGCAGAAGACTATGTTCAAAATAAGGAAGATGAGGAAGAAACATCTCTGTGGCAGCCCAGAGAAAATGCTCTGGGGGCAGGCCAAGAAGGTGTCTTCTAGCTGGGTGTCCCAAGAGGGCACTAACCTCTCTAAGCCTCAGCTTCCCTGACATGTAGTAAAAAGGGAAAAGTACTCAATGTTGTGGTAGTCTAAAGCACAATCAATACCGTCACCCCGACTGTTCCAATCACGGGATTTTGACTCCATGACTTTGGGCAATCCATGCTCCCTGAGCCTCAATATCTCCACTTGTAAAGCAGCTTTGTTTCATCCTTGCACCATGGCTTTTGCATGATAATAGGCATAGGGCAATGGTAATTAATGATATAAAATAAAATGTATACCAATTATTGAAACACAAAGTACATTTTCAAAACACAATGTATATTCATATGCAAATCAATAAAAAATTGTTTTAAAAAAGACTAGCGCCCAGCTCATCAGCATCCTATTAGTAGATGGCCCAGGACTGACTCACACAGGTGACCTTGCGGTAGATCTGTGCTGCATTCTGACATTCCGAGTAGGGGTACTCTGAGGTGGCCATCTCCAGCATGCACATCCCAAAGGCATAGACATCCACAGACTCGTCGTAGTGCTCCTCATACATCTCAGGCGCCATGAACTCAGGGGTACCTGTGCCCAAGAACAACACATGCAGCAGTCAGTCACACAAGTGCCAAGGAGTCCATAAGTCAGAGCCCTAGTGCCCAACACTCTTCCACAGGGTTCACAGGTCAACTAGCTCTCAGGATGAGGCGGTCCTGAGTCAGTGGCATCTGGGCCAGCCAAAGGTGCTGGTGAGCTGGCTGTGGTACACTTCGTGCCAGCTAATGTATTTCAGTATTCAGGATTCAAGCAAAAATGCTTTACAGACAGAAGGAATTCTATCTGGAACGGCAATATCCCAGGGCCACATGAAATCTGAGGGATGAGTTCATAACTGCTGAGAGATTACACTTAAGAAACATACTCCTGATTCAGAAACTAATTTTATCAAGGATCATATCCATGCGTGCGTTCTCATCCTCCTAGATGCTGTCCTATCAACAACAGGGCCAGCAATGACTGGCATCTAGACAACTCTGGGCAGACAAATGCTCAGTTATCACCACAGAGCTACAACTAGAAGGGTGCTAAATGCCCCTAACTCTGGGCACCCCAGGGCAGTGTTCCCCATTGTCATCACCACATACTGCCTATACTTACTTGGTGAACAAGACCATGCTGCACCCCCACCCTACAGGTGTTGTACCACTTGGAATGGACAGTGTTATGTGCTGCATTAAATACAAAAGACTTCAAATCATATTTAACCACATGGAAACTTATGACAGGCTGTGTAAAACAAAAGGTGCCACCTTCAGTGACCTCTGCAGCTAACTAACTCAGAGACTGTACACCTCTGACGATTCAAGTTCATTAGCAGCCATCTCCCTCCTATTGTTATTTTGTTGTTATTGTTGTTAGGCAACATCAAGTCAACTATGACTCATAGAGACGCTGTGAACAACAAAATCTGTACCTGGCCCTATCCTGCGCCATCCTCACAATCTCTGACATGCTCGAGCCCATTGCTGCAGTCACTGTGTCAAGCCTCAGATACTTGAGAGAGAGAAAGGGTTACTATGAGTTGAAAACAACTATTTGGTGGTGAGTTTGTGAATTAAGTCAAATAAAGCACAAGAATTTATGTAGATGATCTCACCTATGCAGAATAATGTCTGGAAAGCAGGACTTTTTGATATATTGGGTTTTTTAATAAAAATGACTAGGGATGACAGAAGATGAATTGATGATTTTGAGTTGTGGTACTGAAGAAGAGTGTTGAACATATCATGGACTGCCAAGAGGTCTGTATTGGAGCAGGTGAAATCAAGTTTCTCCTTGGAGGCTAGGATTTTGATGCTCCATCTCACATACTAAGGGTATATGGCCAGGAGGTATCAGTTCCTAGAGGAGGACATCATGCTTTGAAGGGTGTAGGGACAGTGCAGAAGAGGAAGATCCTGGATGAGATGGATTTGACAAAGTGATTGGGGTAATGAGGATATGTGTGTCGGAGACAGACTGGCTCAGGATAGGGCAGTCTTCATAGCTATTGTGCATAAGGTTACAGGTGACTCGATGGAACATAACAACAACATAAAGTTTTTACTTTCATAATCAAAAAAACCTATTCTTAAAAGTGCAATGAAAAAGTAGAATTAACTTTTTCAGCGGGTACTTTTTAACTTTTGTACAGTTGTTGATTTAGGCAATTTTTTTAATACTTCCAACTTTTTTTTTTAACTTCCAACTTTTTAAAAAAACAGATACAAAACATTACAAAGTAATTACTGAATGAAAAAGCACATTTAGGGGTGAGAAAAAAAGGCATTCACTATTGTTACCTCTGGGATAAGGGACTACTGTAGATTGTATTTAGTTTTTATTCACCCAACATGTTTAATATATTTAACTAAAAAAGATACCATCATGGGTGGCTAAAAAAAGAATGAAGAAAACAAGAAGGCCCTACACTTAGGCTTGCTTATAAGCATAAAAGATTCTGAAAGAATGAATTACAAATCACAAGAACTGAACACAGAGAGCAAGGAACAGGAATTTTTCATCTTTTTAATTTCTAAACCACACGATTACTTGGAAATTGTTTTTGTATAATTAATTTTTAAGTTAATATTTTTCAAAGTTCCTTCCTACTTCTAAGCTGGTCATAAAATAGGGAATATACTGCTCGGGCTTAGGTCTAAAGTACAGACATCATATGCTCCTAGGTGTGGCCGGAGTATCAAAAGGACAAGAGCTCAGGGCTGGCATCACAGGTGATGATCTGGACTTCTGTCCTACCCCTCAGCCCTGGGGTTACCTGTCTCTTCTCACAGGTCCCATCCCCATGGGCCTACCTTTGGCCTATTACAGAGGAGCACAGCTAAGTGTCACGGCATGGGACCCAGAGTTCTCAGCCTGGTGCAACTGTCATCTACAGGGTGAGGTAGAGAGGGATGCTTGGTACAGCAGTGGGCTCCTCGATGAAGGGTACAACCCTGACACTCTGAATATTCACAGATGCTGCTGGCCGGACCATGAACACATGGACTTTGGTGTTTTCTTGGCAGGCAGTTCCATGGAGGACAGGGGAGTGCATCTGTTTCAGTCTTGGCCCTGACCCCTAAGGGCAGCTAGGACAGGACACACAGGGTCAAGAAGCAGTGGCCCTGGGCTACAGTAGTAATGGCAAGACTACACTGATGCCTAGAGAGGAAGCTGCTCCATGGCCTTCCCAGAGCAGCAGTCCGCCCCAGGCATGCTCTCTCCCAGATCTTCAGTAAGCCAGGAAGGTATTTGCGCTGTAATTACCATTTCAGAAAACCTAGCTTTGTTAAATGATTCAGCTCAGTCAAAGATTACAAGTTCAGGGCTGAGCATTTACCAATAATATCTATTAATGCACATACTCACAAATGTCTATCATTCCCCTCTTTTTAAACTGTAGCCATTTAAATATAAATTTTTGAAACGTGTGTATGTATGTGCATATGTATCTGAATGAACATGTGTCTGTGTATGTGAGTCTACACAAGTATGCGGACACTGTATGCACACTGTGCATGTACATGTGTATATTTGCATATTTATGTACATTGTGTAGATATCTGTATCTGTGTATGCATGCACAAATATACGTGCTTGGTGGCCCACCCTAGCAGTCCTAACTGTGGTCCTCATCACCCTGGCAGTAGCTATGAGATGCATCCCCTGTCCTCCTTTCTTGCATTGTGTCATGGCCAGATGGCCCCACTAGCCCCTACTAACACCTTGACCTTGATGTCCAGCAACAGGTACACAGGAGAGTATCTGGTCCTCAAGTGAAAACCCCATCAAGCATTTTGGGAAAGCTACCTCTCCCATCTTACCCCCACACAGAAAAGAGCTCTTCAGGTAAGTGACATTAGAGGTCCAGTTCTGAGATCTGCTGTCATTACAGGACATCTCTAGAGCTGACGGATGTATTAGCAGGTTCCAAGCAGTGAAGCCGACAGTGTCTGCATGCCCAGAAACTCATCTCACTCAGCCTAATGGGGTCCTCCTCCCACTGGAGACCTCAGGGATGCCACTGCCCTTGGTCAGAGCTATGAGGGGCACTCACATTTTTTTCAAAGGAGTGCAAACCCCAACAAAGGATTTTCAGAACTTTTCTGAGCCCTGAACATACACTGGAAGCCCCTACTGATAAAGCATTGCAAAGTAGGTCACAGCTTGTTAGTGAAAAATCTTAATCACCAGGCCATATATGAGCTCACACATCTAGTCCTGCCCCTGCCATTAGCATAGTGGGAGGACACACATCAGTAGACCTGGGTGGGAAACTCTCCATTAGCCAACCTAGATGGGAATCCCTCCCTTAGCAGGCCAGGGTGGGAGTTCCTCCATTAGCAGACCTGGGTAGAAGTCTCTCATTACCAGACCTGAGTTAAGAGTGCCCCATTAGCAAACCTGGGTAGGAGGCCTCCCATTAGCAGACCTGGGTGGGAGTATGTACCCCCATGAACATACCTGAGTGAGAGTACCCTCATTAGCCAATCTTGGTGGGAGGTTCCCATTACCAGACCTGGGTGGGAGGTCCCCCATTAACTGACCTGGGTGAGACCTCTCATTAGCAGACATGGGTGGGAGTATCCAAATTAGTAGACCTGGGTGGGACTCCCCCATTAGCTGACCTGGATGTGAGACCCTCCATTAGCAGTCTGGATGGGAGGCCCCCCCATTAGCCAATCATTAACAGACATGGGTGGGAAGCCCCATTAGTAGACCGGAGTGGGAGGTCCCTCATTAGCAAACCTGGGTGGGAGACCCCTCATTAGTCTATCTTGGTGAAAGTCCCTCCTTTAGCAAACCTGGATGGGAGACCCCCATTAGCAAAGCAGGGTGGAAGTCCTAAAATCTGAGTGACTTAGTATATTAACTCTCTAGTCCACTTCTCTCAGCAGAACTTTCCCCAAGGAGAACCCTGGGGGGCTGGACCCTACATCCACTAAAGAGTCAGAATCCATATAACACCACACCCACCATGGACCCAATGGAGCCTCATTTCAAAGGAAGGGAGCCTGAGGTCTGAGAAAGCTCAGAGGCCACCCTCCTCTTTTTCCAACATCTCTGCAGCTTTAATTGTGTATGGTGGTCTCCAGGTAGCTCTCCTACTACCCAGCTAACCCAGCGGTGAGATCTCTAACACTTTCTGGAGCCAAATTTGCAATAAACATCCCATAACCACCAAACATGCAGAACTGTAGGGCATGTGGCCCACTAGTAGCTAAGGACCCTCTAAGCTTCCCACTTAACAAGCAGAGAAACACCTGGTACTGCCCAGATCACACCCCATGTCCTGGGCTACCTGAGGCTCTACCAATAGTCTCTCCTAGGTGCTGCACTTGCTCAGTCACTGCGTTCTGAATGTATGGCCCCACCAGTGCGGGTCCCACAATAGCTTCCTTCCCTGCAGAAAGGCCACATACTGACCCTAGTATGCCAAAAACCATGAGGATGGGGCCCTGACTTCAGCCACTGGCCTGCCAGTGTGTCTTCCAGAGCCTCACTACTCCAGGCACTCTCCCAATGAGCAGCCAGTTCAGCCTGCTGCGGCCTGACCTGTCAGAACACTCCCTCGTGTCCCAGGCCTCAAGATGCTCTCATTTCAGAACGTTCTATCAGCTCCTGCAGCACTTTCCTGGGGTGGGCACAGGGAGGAGACATCACATCCCTGTACAGTAGCCAGAACCTAGGAAGCCTCATTATCAAGGGCTGACTGGGCAGGGGAAACTTCTCCAGGAGGGGCCTCCAACTGACCACTGAAAGATGAGAGAGCAGTCTTGTCTGCAGCAGCACACCATTCTCTGTACCTACTCTGACTGCCCCTTGTCTAGTCAAACTGTCCCTTGTCTAGTCAATTTGCCCCTGGCATAGTCAATCTGACATATAGGAACCCTTTCTTTATCCCTCCTTATTAAGCCTCCGTAGCTCACTGAAAACAGTCACACAACATGTCCTGAGGTCTGGGCCACCTCCACCATGTCACATCTTCCCCACTAGACAACTAGCATGACACAGGACATGCTGGCAAAGGTCAGAGGGTAAGGCTGTTCAGGACAGTCCAATAAGGTAGGTGAGCACTGGTCACCACCTCCTTTAGCGGAGGGAAGGTGAGAGAGGTGAGCACTAGTCACCTCCTCCTTCAGCAGAAGGAGGATGAAGTAGGTGAGCACCAGTCATCTCCTTCTTTAGCAGAGGCCTCCCTTTGCCCCTCTCCTAGGCAAGGCAGTGAGAGGAAATGGGGGCAGGCAGAGCTGCCCAAACTGAGGCCCATCTCATCTCTCACAGGCTGCCCACCCAAGGAGGTTCTTGTCCCAAGGCAGTTAAGTAAACTGGACACTGGGTCCCAGACTCTTGGGCCTTGAAGGAGGGATCAGAGGGCATACCTATCACACTTTTGGCAAATGATGCTCTTTTGAGCGTGGCCAGGCCCAGGTCACCAATCTTCACAGATCCAGTTGGTCCAGTAATAAAAATATTGTCACATTTCAGGTCTCGGTGGATGATGGGGGGCGTCCTTGTGTGCAAAAACAGCAGGCCTTTCAGGATCTGCCGGCACCAGCTACGAAGAACTTTGGGCTTCATCACTTTGAACCGTTTCAGGTACCTGGAAGGGAGGGCACAGCATACTCAGCAAATGGTTAGGCTCTGCCAGTCTCAATGCATGCAGTTGGCTAGGCTGTCCCTTACAATCTCGCTCATGTACAAGAACAGACAGTGCAAAAATGCTACTATCCAGGAGGGACTGAGCAATGCTATCCAGACCCTGGGTAGACAATTGGACAGCTCTCAAGAGTCCACAGCCCTGGACTTCATAGTGGACACTGAGATGGAATGTCACTCAGCTACAACACTGCTGTTATTAAGACAGAGTGCTGGTATCCTTGGTACAGGTCTGAATCCTGAGGACACCTCAAAGCCTGGAAAGCCAAGGTTGGGGACAACACAGGGAACCACACAGCATGCTAGGTCTTCTTGGACACCAGTTCCTCTGAGAAGGAAGTGGGCAAAACCGGGCAGGAGTCCCACTTTGGGTCCCCACTTGTCCCCCTACACCCTGGCCTGTTTCTGAAGTAGACTGCGTTCACCAAAAGGGAGTCTGCTCCCCTCCTCACTGTCCAGACATGTGGCCCTAGAGAGGAGGCACGGGTTACCTGGCTCTCCTCTGCTGACCTCTGACCCACAAGGCCTGACTACATTCAGTCCAATCTGTGAGAAGAGAAGCACATTTCTGTGGTCAGTGGACTCCCTGTACTCCTGTGTAGACAAAAGTCTACCTTCTATGATGCTGGCACATGTGCGCTGCACCTAGACACAGCAAGCCTGCTAGTTCCCCAAGAAGCAAACAATTCCAGGTGCTCAAGTTTATATCAAGTGCATGCTTAGGTGCATGACCCTCAAAGAATCAAATGTCAGATGCAGGGTAGGGGTAAGGGAATGAGGTGGGAAAATTTCCTCTGTGGTGTCTGAGGAACAGAGTCAGGAGATACCCCAAGGTAAGAGACAACCACTGGGGGCACCACGACATGTTTCTTTTAATTTGTAGGGACTTTCTGTTGTTGAGAGGATCCTACCATTTACCCAATAAGGACATTCCAGAGAAGTGTGCACCCTGAGCATCATGCAGGCCTCCTGCTCTGCACCCTGGGCCAAGTCCACTAAGCACAACGACATACTTACGTCTTTAGAGTCCCTGAAGTCATCAGCTCTGTCACCAGCACAATGCACCGCTTTCCTTTAGCACTAGATTCCCAGAAGTCATAGAATCGCACAATATTTGGATGCTGCAAGCCTTTCAGCATCTCGGCCTCCTCCTTAAATCTCTGTCGCTCCAGCTTGGTGAGCTTCCGGTCCTGGAGAGAGGACACAAAGACCAGGGTAACTGGGGATGGTGAAGGGCAGGAAGGCTGGCTCCAAGGCAGTTGTGAAGCCCTCAGTAGGCTGCTTTCTGGGACGCACACAGTGAGCAGCAGGAAGGAGCCCAACAATCAAGGAGTTTGTGAAGTCTGACCCAGTTCAAGGGCCCCAAAGGCAGCCTCGTGTCCCCAAAGCACAGCGCATTGGGCTTTTCTGTCACTAGGTTTAAGCTGAAAAGTTTTGGAGGGATGTCCTAAACTTAGCAGATCCTTCAATAAAAAAGGGATAACAAACAGGTCCCAGACACAGAAGTGGTGCACCCTACCCAGAAACTGCTCCGAGCACAACAGAGGCTGTATGGCCCACTCAGCCTTGCCGAGCTGGCCTTCCCCATCCAGGGCCTGCACCAGGGACTCCACACTGAAATTCCTGGGAGGAAACTCATGCTTCCTGGTTCACCACCTACCTATCAGTTGGGAGAACTGGGGAGGGCTGCGTACTTGTTGGAATGCTAGAGAGCCTGCCACCAACATTTCAAATACCAGCAGGGTTGCCAGTGGTGGGCAGGTTTCAGCAGAGTTCCCAGATTAACAAGAAAGGTCTAGTAACAAACTGCCAGATCAGCTAATGAGCCACAGAATATTGTTCAACATAGAGCTGAAGATGTGTTCCGCATTTCAGACAGCATTAAAACACACACAGTAGTGACAATGGGCTTGAGCCTGGCTGCACGTGAAGGTGCAGGACGAGGTACCAATGCCCACTACACAAAGCAGCTGCTAGGCAGCATTCAATCCACAGTAACTGAGAACTTTTTTTTTTGCATAAAATCTCTTCTGAGGCCTTTGTCTCTTCAATAACTATTTATTAAGGTTTGTATTTTAAAAAGAAGGAAATATTAGTTTTGTCTCACCATCATTAATTTTTAAAGCTCATGCAGGAAGCAAGCCATCAATACAGGCAAATCAAGCTCTAAGAACCACAGTGATACTTAAAAACCCCACAACACCCCACACCAACACACCCAGGGCCCTGAGCCCCACTGGTGTTAGCCACACAGGGACTAACCAGATGCCCACCTGGACCCAGAGCAGCACTGTCAAGCACCTACTCCCTAACTTCTGGCCTCATCACTCTAGCCTCTCCTTCTTCCTCCTAACACTATTCTCCAGGTTCAGCATGACCCCCTTTTTTGGCCTTCTGCCTAAATACTTGCCTACTTAAAATCCTCCAGTAGATTCTCAACCTCAGACACTTACTATCAAAAACTCAGAGGCCCTCAAGCCCTCTGTATGTTTCTAAATGCCACTCGCAAGATGAAATTCCACTTTCAGGGTGCAGACACTTGCCTCCTTTCTTGTGGCAAACACACCAAGCTCCTCTAACTGGCACTTTCACACTTGAGTGCTTATCCTACCCCACTGTCCCCTCCTGCCCAAGAGGTCACTGAAATACCCCTAAAGTGGAAAGCATACTTCTAGAAGAAAAATGCCAACACAACTGAGCATGAAAAGAGCAAAACTCTGAAGAATTCTACCAAGATAGAATACTGTTGATGGAGGAAATTCAGAGGACAGGAAAAAAAGTCCAGAGCACTGCTTACATATGCTCACCCATTGTAGCTTGCTGGCTCACACACACTTACTGACACACATAGCCAAACATTTGTTAAAATATAAATTTATGAGCAACAGAAATGATGTTAAATGAGTAGTGTCCTATCATCTAAGGGATATTTAATATTGGAGAAGGGCATCATGCACAGAAGGGTAGAGGGAGAGTACATGAGAGGAAGATCTTGGATGAAGTGAATTGATACAGTAACTGAGGCAATGGGGGGTAGTTGTGTGGGAGTCAGTGAACCTGGCTCAGGACCCGGCAGGCTTCAGAGGTACTGCACATAGGGTTGTTTGGGTTGCAAGCTACTTGATGGCACATAACAACAACAATAATGACAACACAGCAACACAGAACTAAGGAGTTTGTCCAAAACAGGAAAGGATGAAACTGGACTTTCATGCATACACAGCCAGGAGTTAAATGACCTAGCAGTGACCTAAGATGGTGGTTTAAAGAACAGAGTGAGACTAAAACACATGCACCAACACTCTCTTATACCGGAGTCCACCTTGAAGTTTTGTCGAATACTCAGAGGAGGAAGGAAAGTTGCAGTCACTCAACCAAAGCTGTGAGAACACCACACGTGTCTTTACTCCTGAAAAAAAACACTCTTCACCATAAATAAACCTCTCTTAGAAAAGCTCCGGGATTTTGCTGCTCAGAGAGACATGCCAGTGTTCCTCCTAAGCCCTGCATGCTCTTCCCCAGCAGGGCGTCCTTGTCCTATAATAAATCTTTGCCTTTCTCAAAGTAGTCTAACTTTATAATCATGACATACAGAATCACTATGAATTTGGAATGCTGAATGAAGAAACCAAAAGTGGGGGGAAAAATACAAGTTTACAACCTTGAGGTTCTTCTAGGTGACCCTAAAGAACTCCAAGCCCAGAATCTGATATGGAGAACAAGAGGTCGGTGGTCTTCCTCCCACAGAGCAGGGACGATTCAAATTGCCTGCCTTAGAGTTGGTAGTGCAACTCTCTTTCCGCCAGACCACCAGAAAAAAACAATAATTTGGGAACCAAAAAAGAAAACTCTGAAAAATTCTGATGCATATCCTCCTATAAAAGAAAAAAAAAATCATATACACAAAAAAGAACCAACTTTTTTAAAGGAAATCATCAAGAAAGAGTTCTTACAAACTGAAAACTGCCTGCCTTACTAAAAGACTTAAAACAAACAAACAAAGAAAAAAACCCACTGGGTCTATTCATAGTAACCCTAAACAGTTCAAAATAAAATATTCCATAATACTGGAATATAATAAAGATGCTAGGTGTCTACTCTGATTTAGAGCTAAATGTAACATTGCTGTAAAACTGAGAATGTTAGCACCAGGTAAAGAAGAAGTAGAATATGAGAGTGGATGCCCTTTGGGGTCAAAGATTCCCACACCACTCAGTCCAGGCTCTACAGGAGTAGCAGCCACATCAGAGAATCAGGCCTGATGTGAGACAAAGCTGACTCTGGGACAGGGACAGCTAGCCATGGAGCCAGAACTAGGAGTCTTTGCCCTAGTTTGTTGGAGGACAGGGCGGAAGAGCCATCATTGGCAGGACTAAGGGCTCTGTAACACTGGCCTAAAGTTGCAAGGCTGAAGGCTGAGGTACCTGTGAGCACGTTAGGGAAGCTGTTCTGACTGAGCAAGCGTATTGCTCAGCCAACATGAATTATAGCCTTTTGACTTCCCTAATAAATACCATAATCATGGGGTGGGGGAGAAACCCCAAGCAAGCATTGTTGTTAGGTTCCCAGGAGTTGAAACCCACTAGCTGACCCTCCACAGAAGGACGCTATTCACCTTTCTCTTACAAAGCAGCTGGCAGATTCAAACCATACTACACCTCCGAGTTAGCAGCACAACTCCTTAACATTAAACAACCTGAGCTAAATGTAACATTAAGTGCAAAAAGATAAATATTTAATCTGTATAGTTAAATGGAAACATGTCTGCTCACTTAAAATTACGGCTCATTACAGAAAGTGAAAGTCATCCACAGACTTGACAAAGGATTCACATCCAGAACATAGAGCACTCTTACAGCTAATCAATACAAAAGGCTACAACTCAAGAAAAACCCTATAGACTGTGGAATATAGTGAAAAATAATGCATCAATAATGGGTCATCAGTTTTAACAAACAGACAACAAAAATGCTAGATGTTAACAGGAGAAAACTGTGTAAGGGGATATACAGGAACTTGCTGTATCATTCTTCTGTACGCTTTAGGCTTTTTAGTGCTCAAAAAATAAATTACATTGCTTTTGAAAAAGCAAAAAGGCATAAAAATGGTGAAGGAGAAATAAAAGATAACTGATATTTCACCAAAGACAACACAAAAATGTCATAAGCACATGAACAGGTACTCAATATCAACAGCCAGCAACTCAACTCAAAACTCAAAGCCCTCAATCAGAGCTGTGCCTCCAGTGGGTTTTCAAAGGCTGTAAATCACACACTGCACATCTTTTTCCCTCTGAGCAAATGGTGGATTCAAATCATCAGAAAGGTATTGCCTTTGAGGTAGTGTAGAAAAAACAGCCTGGAGCCTTTTATCTTAATGTAAAAGGACAATTGAATTGTTGTTCTTATGTGCTATCAAGTTAAGGGTGGCTCATACTTACCCTATGAACAACAGATCTGAAACCTGTTCTACCTGTCCTGTGCCTTCTTCACCATCTCTGACATATTTGAGAACTATGCTACAGTCAACAGTCTTGGCACCAGCAGCCAGGAAATTAAAAGGCGCATTGCCATGTGAAAGTCTGCTGTTAGGGACCTCTCCAAAGTACTGAAGAGCAATGGTGTCTCTCTGGAGACTAAGGTGCGTCTGATACAGGCCATGGTCTTCGCAATCACTTGTTATGCATTAGAGAGTTGGACAATGACCAAGGAGGATAGAAGGAGAACTGATGCCTTTGACCTGTGGTGCTGGAGAAGAGTATTGAGAATACCATGGACTGCTAGGAAAACAAACAGATTTGTCCTGGAAAGGGTTAAACCGGGTGGCTCCTTGGAGGCAAGGATTCTGAGGCTCCGTCTAACATACTTTGGACATGTTGTGAGGAGAGACCGGTCCTTGGAGAAGGACATCATGCTTGGGAGGGTGGAGGGACAGCGCAGGAGAGGAAGGCCCTCTATGAGGTGGATTGATTCAGTGACTGGGATACTTGGGATGGGAGTGTCAGAGACAGTGCGATTGACACAGGACAGAGCGGAGTTTAGGGCTGTTGTACACAGGGTCGCTATGAGTCGCAAGCGACTCGACGGCACATAACAACAAACAACAACAATGCTACAGTCATCATGTCCATTTGTCTTGTTGGATTGGTCTTCTTCTCTTACACTGACCTTCCATCTTTCCCAGAATGAAT